CTAAAGGATATACTGAAAAAAGTAAAAAAAAGAAAAAAAATTAAAAGATGATAATAAAGAGGAAGTAAATTAAAGGAGGTCTCACATTTTAATACCTTGAGATTTGGGTGTTGGGGGTGCTGGTCATGCTTCCCGGGGTGGGAAGTAGGAATGGTGCGGGAAGGCACTTTTGGGGGAGCTACTGGCTACTGGTTTATGGGAACTCAATCTCACCCCCTACATTGTTCCCTTCCCACTCCCCTAAACCCCACTCCTGGATCTGCCTATGTCCTGTGAGCTGGCTAGCTGACGTGTTTTGCAGGCTATTTGCACAGGGTTGCACACCTGGGGGTGGGAAGGTCACACTCCAGGGAACAGAAGGGGGAGTTGGCTTGGTGCCAGAACTGTCCCCTGGGCAGCAGAGTTCAAGGGATGAATAGCTTGTCCACACACAACAGGAGGGTGGGGGGAATGGATACTACATTCTGGGATGCTGGAGAACTGCAATCTGGGCAGTTCATCTGTTGGTAGTGGCCACAAAATGCAACATGAGCCGAGTAACATGGATCAGAGATAAACCTGCCCTGAAGTGGCATAACTTTAAGATGCTTAAAGAGTGCTTAAAACTAGACATTAATGTGTGGATAATCCAGGGGTTAAGAACTCCAGGAGCTGCCTAAAATTAATGTGTAACAAGGCCCTAAAATAAGTGCCTGCTAACCACTGTGTATGAGAAAGCAAGCTGTTGCTTCTAACACAGAGAACAGTGTTTCTTTGTGAAGATGCCCAAATACTACAGAAAATGTCTTGCAACATAACCAGGTATCAGAAAAATAAATCTGAATATTGCTCAGTAAGTCATAGCCTGAATATTATTTATTCAGGGCCAGGAACTGGAAAAGTATTGAACAGAAGAGAACAGCTGTAAACTTGAACTGCATTTTGATATTCTATTTTTTTAATCAATGCAGCAGAACCAGAGTTGATCCCTGCATTGTGTATTTTAGAGAAGAGTAAGGTTTTACTTTTCATGTAGTTCCACCCAGCAGAAGAAATGGCTGCAGTCCACTGAAAAAGCCTCTAGTGAACAGGGGTGTAGGTTGTAGCCGTGTTGGTCTAAGGACATAGGCAGACTAGGTTCTTCTGGTGAATCTGATATCTTTTATTAGACCAACTTAAATAGCTGGAAAACAATTATTAAGCAAGCTTTCGGGTTCAAAAATCCTTCGGCAGGCTAAGGAAGTTTCAGCAGCTGGTGTGCTCTCTTCCTGGATGGAATGAAAAGTAAAGAAGCCAGAGGCTGGTCTGGTATGCATACAAGACAGGTAGTCAGTGAAAATGTAGATTGAGGAGTCAATGGGTGAGAGACACGCTGGGGGTGGGGAAGAGAGAAGGGGGATGAATAGTGGAGAGATACCTGGGGAGTTAGATTCTAGTGAACAGCATTTTCAGCTAGAGTATTGTGGGAGGGTTTTAACATGACTCACTGGGTAGCAGTCCTCATTCAGGCAGTTAAACAAACAACACAGGGTTGTTCCTGTTTTATGAGTTGAACCGATTCTGTTCATCTTCCCACACACGGAAAGTTAAATAGATTTAGCCAATCTTGACTATCTGTATTTTAACTACTGTGATCACAAGGTGGTGAAAAAAGGAGGTATTTTTTATAGTAGGTATTTTAAACTTGGATCAGGGATACATGCTGTTGGCTTTTTGTACTTTGACCTGGCAGTTCAAAGTTGTAAAGAGGTAGAGAGGGTTGATTTGCACAAAACTAGAATATAACATATTACAGGGGTATGGGTTGTGGCTGTGTTGTTCTAAGGACATAGGCAGACAAGGTTCTTTGGGTAAATCTGGTATGTTTTATTAGACTACCAATGAATTCCATCCAGGAAGAGCACACACCAACTGCAAATGCTTCCTCAGCCTGACAAAGTTTATTTATACCCAAAAGCTTGCAAAGAAGAATTTTTCCAACTATTTGAGTTGGTCTAATAAAAGATATCAGATTTACCCAAAGAACCACGTCTGCAGTATAACATGTTAGCACTAGAGTAGGTACTGCTTTGTTGCCTGCGTGTTGTATTGTGCTTTGGAAGGCAATCTGGGCTAGTGATTAGTGCACAGGACTGGCAGCCTGTAGTTCTAAACCTCATTCCTTGCTCTTGCCCTAAAAATCACCGTATAAAATCAATGTCAGTCAAGTTAAACTTTGACTTAGTTACTCCTAGTTTGCAAGAGGGAAAACCAAGTCAGAAAGTTTTACAACTGCCATCATAGGTCCTGTCCTACGGCTTTTTACACAACACCCACTATTTGTCATATAAGCTTCTTGACCTAAGGGTTGCCATAAGGGATCAGAATCTAAGTTTATCCTGTTTAGTACCCTGTTTGACAGTGTCTACACTATATGCTTTACAGGAAAGTGTAGAAGTCTCTAATAGGCACATGTGGGAAAACCTGTTCTTTGCTGATTAAATCTTTTAATTCCTAGTAGTTCGAGTTTGGCTTGAAGCCCTGAAACATAAGGCTTAATAGGCCTCTGAAACATGAGGCTTAATGGGCCTTTAAAAATGGGTTGGCATTACTTTACCCAAATTCATAGAAGGCCCATAGGAGGTCAGGTTAAATTTTCAGTGTTCTCTTCTGGTTCTAGTCTCTGTAGGATTCTAGGTGTTCTTGTTTTAACATAAACACTCACCTTTTTTTCAAAAAATCTAGCCTCCATGATACAAAGCAGCAAATGCTTCCACAGGTGTGGCGTTTACTATTGGTCTATAAACCCCCCCCACAATTCCTGCCCCAAAGAACGGAAATCTAAACAGACAGTTATGGAACAGAACAGCAAAGTGGCGGACTTGAAATCTTATTAACTGTTAGATTTCGTTTTCCATACAAACACTCAGAAATATTTCTAGGCTATGGCTTTTGTTCATAATGAGTTAAGGACACGTTTTTAACATTGGAAGAAGCAAACTTGGAGAAGGAGGAAGCCTATGGTGGTCTGGATCCAACACATTTCTTGCATGGTCATTTGTAAGTCAATAGCTGGGGGCGGGGTCAGAAGAGGCCTACAGCTAATGGAGATTTGAATGAGTTAGGTTCACCACCTACAGTCAGACACCTACTCTGACTTGTCATGCTTCTCCATCTTAATCATTTTCAGCTTTCTGGTGCCTAGTCTTACTTAAAATTACATAATTAAATGGTTTAGTGCCCTCTGTTACAGCCAAATGCAACAATATTGGATTGCAGTGGGTGTCTGACCCTCACCCACAGGGTAAAGGCTTTTAATATACAGGCATACCTCGGAGATATTGCGGGTTCGGTTCCAGACCACCGCAATAAAGCGAATAATGCAATAAAGCGAGTCACACGAATTTTTTGGTTTCCCAGTGCATATAAAAGTTATGTTTACACTATACTGTAGTCTATTAAGTGTGCAATAGCATTATGTCTAAAAAAAACAATGTACATACCTTAATTAAAAAATACTTTATTGCTAAAAAATGCTAACCATCATCTGAGCCTTCAGCGAGTCGTAATCTTTTTGCTGGTGGAGGGTCTTGCCTCAATTTGTAAAAAA